GAATATCGTGCGTCGAAGGAACGTTGACCTACATCACGAGCTCATTGAAATAAAACTGGTGAAATATGACTACCTCGTGGTTGCCCGCTACGGCCCCAAGTATGCGAAGCCACTCTGAATACCTGGTTGTGTAGCCTTGTTTCCAAGCTGTCTTATTCCTGCAGGGTGATGACTAGTCACATGTTCATCGAGCATGTGGCGCCATAGCTGTTGGGCGATGAAAATGGTGCACCAGAAAGTCAAGACGATAAGTTATTGGTTTTACCCATCTGCAAGCTTTTGATTATAAGACCTCATCACTTGTTCGAAGAGATCATGAAGATAGCTGCGCATAGTTTCTGCCGCGACAAAAGAATAGTACAACAAAAAACATCAAGGTCGAAGGGTACGTACAAGAAGTAAAAGATATTGTGCTCAGGCCTGACTCTCATGATTTACAGACTTATGCAGCACCTGTCTATGCGGCATTCACCCGCTCAGTAGTCCTGCGCAAACTCCCTAGCATCCTTTCTGCCCTTCTTCCAAGCAGTACTCTCACTAGCCCCCTTAACCTTCTTCGCCAACTTAGCATTGAAGTTGGTAACGACACCCTTCGCAACCGGCTTCCCAAGATTATCGCTCATCGGCCTAACAACATCGCACCTAAGCGCCTGCGCAGGGCTCATACGCTCCATCTTCGTGTTGTTAGTCTGGATGAAGAGCCTCTCACGCGACTTGGGACCAGTGTAAGGCTTCCACTCGACAGCGCGTTCGGCACGGTCAGTGTTGGGGTCGAGGTTGCGGATGAAGCTTGTCCAGTAGCTGCGGACTTGGTGGATGATGGGTGCATTGGTGGTGAAGTAGCTGGCTGGCTCGCTGTTGTCGGTGCGGTTTACGCCCCAGAAAGCGTAGGCGTTGACGGTGTGCCAGGCGCCGTAGCCAGCGGCCTCGTCGGCGGGGTCCTGTACGGCGTACTTGTAGTTCCATGTCGGTACGTCGTCGGCTGCGATCGCGTTTTGGATGTTGCGCGTGGGGCAGTGGGTGCCAATGTCGCCGATGGCATCAGCGGCATGGCGCCAGTAGAGACCTTTGCCGGGGAAAGTGGGCTTCCTGGGCTTCATGTAGAGATCATCGAGGATGGAGATGGAAGAGTTGCTAAGACTTGGGTCCTGGTTGGCTACCCATTTGACGGCATCAGCTGTGGTATTGAGATCCTCTGGTGCGTTGTACTTGGTGCCTTCTTGAGCGCAGGTTCCCATGATGGTCGGAACCTTGGCGTACTTGCCCTGTTCGAAAAGATTGACGAGTGAGTCGGTGTAGAGGTCGCCGTCGATGTTGGGGTTGAACCAGCAGTTGGAAGTTCGGATAGCCGACTCGTTTAATGCGCGCAGGCAAGACAGGCCATTTGTCGCATTGGCACAGCCCTTGTCTTCGAGTAAGCACTGGTATTGCTCCTCGCCCAGTTCCGGTGTGCGCATCGTGACCCAGCCGCCCGACTCCATGATGCCACCAGCGAACAACCCCTTGCCGGTGTTGGCCGCTAGCATGAGTGCAACAGAAGATCCGCCAGCACTGACTCCATCAAGGACAACATGGTCAGGGTCGCCGCCGAATTGGTCGATGTGCTCCTTAACCCACTCGAGAAGCTTGATCTGGTCGCGAAGTCCAGCATTGACGTCGCCACCTCCAGCCTTGACCGCTTCACTGCTGAGGAAGCCGTAGAGACCCACGCGGTAGCTGAACTGAACGAAGACGACCTGACCATCGGAGACGATCTCCGTAGGATCCCAGTTCGCGCTGGACTGCGATGAGAAGCCTCCTCCCTGGAAGAAGACCACCACTGGCAGCTTCGAGTCGACTTTGGCCTGCGAAGGCGCATAGACGCTCAGGTAAAGACAGTCTTCTGCGACGTGGAAGCGATCGGTGGCTCCGGATATAGTCCAGTCATCAGGGCGGTTGGGTGGGCATGTTGCGCCGTGTCTAGTCGCGTTGATGAGTCCGGAGACGATAGGGTCCTGCGGGGCTGCGAAGCGTCGTTCTCCGATAGGAGGCGCCGCGTACTGGATGCCTTTCCAGGCAGAGACGCCAAGCTGAGAGTCAACAACGGCTCCCTGGTACTTCGCGTAGCCAACATCTACAAGAGTGTTGACGGCCTGCGCAAGTGACGAAAAGCCCGCTCCAGCGGCGAGCAACTGGTGAAAATGCCTCATCTTCGAGATGAATTATGAATGGAAAATGAACGTGGACGAGCAATGCTCTGGTAAAGAATGGATACGTGCGCAAATGCACGAAAGCTGAACTGGGTGGGCAAAGAAACGAATGATTGCTGTGTTTACTACAGCCTCCTTATGGTGAGCATATAAATCCATCCCTCCGGATCTTCATGGATGCGCTCGAGACGTATCAAGCCCGTTATCGCCGGGATGTCATATATGTGCTGCGTTCGGACCGCACGCAGAATGAACGTGGAAATTGTGCGTTCATGTTGCTGTGCTGTTCAGAGTCGGGCCGTTGAGCGATGCGGCGATTGAGTTGTTTCACGGCGGCATGGCAGGGTGTCGATGCATGACCTGACCTAGCCTTGAGCAGAAAGAGGCCATTGTTCCAGGGGTTTCTGGGGAGCCGATCGTGTTCGTCCGCAAATCACGGGCTCTAGTCCGCTGGAGGATGATTTGAAATGGATTGTTGATGAGTAAACGCGAAGGAGCGAACGCGCGGGAACGCTAACGATAGCGCACTGGCCGTCGTTATGTAAGCACAAGAAGAGATTGAGAGGATCGCCAAGCCGTACCTAGAGTTGAGTCTACGGAACATCTACATCGTGATTCCGTCCACGATGTAGCGCTGACAGCAGGATACATGCGATCGTAGAGCCCAACATTGAGTCTACACGACTTTCACCGCCACGGCCCTGTCGGCGTGTCATAGACCCCAGCCTGCCCGAATTTCTGGAACAGCTCGGCATCGCGGAAACGCCACCATCCACCATGTGGCTTTGTGTATCGACACCAAAACGGGAAACCCTCAGCAAGACAATGCTCTCGATACACCTGTTGTGTATAACCGACGTAACATCCGTAACTGTGACCAAGCGGTCTCCAGTCCTTGTTCCGTGCATCAGCTCGACCTTCACGAGTTGTCGCAGGCGTGTCGAGCCAAGTCTTTGACTTTTTCGCGAACGCCGAACGTCGGTTCCGGTCGCGACAAGGAGCGGGTTTAATCTTGACATACGGGACCATGTCGTTGTAGAAATGTCTGTCCACGCAGGCAAACAACTTGCGGATACTGGCGTCGTAATCTCGCGGTAGAAATGGACGTTCGATTTTGATCCATTCGGCTAAACTTCTCACCTCGTCAAACTCCCACGTCGTCCACATCGAGAACAAGCTTCTGATCTTCCGTTTGAAGCCTTTCCCTTTTCCATAGAGTTTCCGGAGCACAGCGTAGAGTTGCAACCGGAAAAATGCACGAAGTACACGATGATGCTCGACATCAGACAGGGTATCGGTACCATAGTCAGACTGATCGGATGAGGCCCACCGAGCTACTGCATTGCCTAGTGCTAGGTGAACGAACTGATCTGTAAGGATATCCGCGTCGATCAAGAGTGCTTGGTACTCGGCGAGCATGCCGACAGCATGACCGGGGCTGTCCACTGATATACGTAGGGTTTCATCGTGTAGATTGCTGTTCAAGAACTCAGCTAGCTGCTCGCTTGAGCGCGGGCGGTTTGTATGCGTCGAAAGTAAGGCCGTAGTTGTCAGGATATGCTGAAGCTGGCTAGCGAGATGGCGGTGCTGTTTGATCGCTTTGAACTGCGCAGCAAAGTTGCAGCGGACCAAATCGCCCATCTCCGGATGCTCGAGGAGTGTGTAGTAGGCTTCGAAGAACTCGTCCTTGATGAGGAGCTCTAGTATGCAGCAGCGTAGCTCTGTCGGCAAATCGAGCATCCGCTGCAAGCCATAGTCGGTCGGGTTGGCAGAATCAGGCGGCGCAGTCGCGCCTGCATTTTCGTGTTGCAGCATGGCATCAGATTTGGAAGCAATACTTTCGTGAGACTCCATCGCAGTAGACGAGACGCGCAATGGGTAACGGGGATTTGCGGGAGATGGTGATGCGGACTGGTGCAGAAATATGACCTCGGATTGATTTAAAAGTGCGCGGTATCCCGTACCGGTAGCGAGCAGCGAACCACTAACAGGTACGACCACCAACCAAGGTATCTGAGTTTCCAGCTTCCCTTCAAGGTTCTGACGGGTAATCATCTCCTCATCCGCGCCCACGACCAAACGAAGGGTGCCAGCCCAAGTTCGCAATTCGGACCTGGGGCATAGGACGGCAGTGGCGGATGGCTAGGGTCATCGACATCGGGGTGGGACATGGAGATGTATGTTGGAGTCTGGCGAATACATGCATGTAGCCATCAGCTACTCTGGGTAGCAGAACTACACGGGGAGTATATTGAGGGTGCTGGATTGGTATGCGACGCTCGTCGAGCTGCTCTTTTGGTACTATAACTCTACCATGCGCTGCGTGCCCAATCATCGAAACTTCTTTTCTAAAGACTTCATTAGGTAAATTTACACTCTTTGCACTCGAACTAAGCCCACATATCCCTCGAATATCTCTCCCATCTATCCGTCACAACGCTACACCAGCGTAACAAGCACACCCTTCCACTTCCCCGACAACACACTAACCTTCGCCCACCTCCTCGCCACCTCCCCAATATTACCCCCATCAACACCAACACCCACAATGTTGATTCTCAACTTCCACACGCCCACTCTCTTCCACGTCCCCTCCCTACTCCCAGGAGCCAACATCAACCCCGCCAACCGCCGCTGCACATTATTCTTCCCCGCAGTTCTCACAACCTGACACTCCACCATCAGCGCGTAAACCGCGTTACGAGGTGGCGACGCCCGTCCCGCCGGATCATCAGGGTAATACTCCAGAATCGGTTCCCAACTAAACCCGCGGTGAGAAGACAGTGGCGAATGGTCTTGCAACCGCTTCATCTACGCTGCTAGATCAGCGGGCCAATCCGCTTTTACAGGAAGAACCAACGTAGCAAGTGTGACTTGCAAGCCGGAGAAGTCAAAGGGGCTAGATTCAGATATGCGATCTTGCGCGTGTCCAGCGAACTTGAAGCCCTTGGTTTCGGCGAAGAACATGTCGGTCCAGCGGACGAGATGAGGTTCGGAATCGTTCTTACACCGGACGGCTAGTTCGTCGTCGCTGAAGAGGTGGAAGAGTTGGTAGTACTTCAATATTGGTACTGAGAACCACGACCAACTTGGGAGTGGTGATGTGGTTTCCACTACACCTTCCACAATCTCCGTCGTCCACACTGAATCTTTCACCTCGCCGTTTGGTAAGCCGTTCTCGGGGCGGACAAGCCATTTAGCTTTCTTGTCGACGTACCATAGCATGGTTATTGGTAGTATTTCTTTCCACAGGCCGGCTAGGTAGGTGAGTTGGCCTAGGTTGGAGAACGCACGCGCTACGCCTGCAAAAGCTACGATGCGGTCTTTGGAGAAAGAGAGTCTGCGGCTGCGGTACTCGTTGACTAGGTTTTGGTAGTCTAATGCGAAAGAGAGAATAGCTGGGGAGGAGAGACTGTTTGTCTTTGCTAGTGTGTTGATCTCTCTGATGGTGTTGGGGAAGTACCGAGACTTCCCTCGGTCTTTGCCGTGCAAAGATACTTGCAGCGTCGTCGTTGTAGGATCTGTCACCGGTGGTTCTGCAATCGGACCAAGTAGTTCATCCCAGAACCCCTCCGAGCAATGCCACATGAGGTTCTTATGCCCAAGCAGCAACGTTCGCGGCGCAAGAAGATACTCCTGGAACGTCCATGCGCGATTGAAGAGCGGCCAGTTGCGTTGAGCGAGCCAGTCTCTACTCGCCTCCTCCGTGTCGAGGGCGAGGCGGAGTGAGGACTTCGTGTGCTCAATATATATCCCAGCTGTATGCGAAGATGAAGCTCGGAGGATACATGGATTCGAAGATCGTGGGTCTTCGCGACTGGATGGCGCAGAGGGCGAGTGAGGTGGGAAGAGGAAAGCGAGGTTGGCTGTTGCGTTGCCGTACACTATGGCCATGCGGCGGGCTTCATAGGTCCAGTCCTCATCTGAGTCTTGGATTATGGCTAGGCTGTCTATCCAGAGATAGCGGTAGCCGAGTGCGAGAGTCACGCGGATGGCTTCTTTGTATACATCCGATGATTCGAGTTTTGCCCGTGGAATCTCTTCTTGGAAGGCGTTGAGATTGGATTGGAGTAGGCGGAGTTGTCCTTCATAATTTGTGCCCCACATGTAGCTCAACACTAGGTAATCGAATCTCTCGTTTTGCATGTTACAGCGGAGCCGGATGTTGGTGGATGTGATTTCCAGGACGCGCGTTGGTCGTTGGTGGGGGTTGGAGACGGTGCTGCTGTGGAATTTGCGACATGTTGTATGTTCTGAAAGACAGGTATTCAGCCACTGCTTAGCTCTTTGGAGGTTATCGCGAGCGAGGAGGGGTGCTTCTCTGGCTGTGATGTGGCTGTTGAACGCTCCTGTGGTGGTATCTATCCGCCTCCGTCAGCAACAAGTTAAAAAACGTGACATGCCAGAACTCACTATCAAAAGTCTGAAACTTGAATATAGCAAAGCCTCTTCCGTCATCCGCGCTTCTCGTTTCAGCTTTAATAAGCCTCATTCGGAGTAATACTTCCGTCCCGCTCCTCTCGGTCTGTGGACACGCGTATACACCCTCATCACCAGCAGGGCGTATACCGCGTGCAGCTCCATGCTGCAACTCCGCAAACATCATCTTGCAAAAATGGCAAGATGGCGCTGACTGAGAGAGTTGAGTAACGGTGCACAAGCGCGAGAAGGGCCATGATGCGACGGGTTGACCACGAGGTTTCTGAAGCCAATTCAGAGCGCTGCACTCATTTGAGAACTTGCGGCATCGCTCGCAAAGGTTGTGAAGTGGGACTGATGCTTTGCCAGTCGAGGACGGTGTAGAAGAGGGTCTGGATGAAGAGGTAGGTGGGGGCGCTTTCCCGCTTGCGGAATGATTGCGGAATGATGACATGAATGAAGGCATGATTGAATGCTTAGGGGACAAGAAATGAGATGCAACATGGCAAGCCCTTTCTTGCGCTGCTGCATACTTATAAGCAGTTCTTAAGTGTTCAGCGGGTAATGATCACCCCAGGAGCGTACATAAGAGGTTGAGCGCTTACTAGACGCCAACCCGTCGAATCGCCCGTGTGGCACAGCAGCGCTTCCATTTCGGCACAAGTAGTTTGCGCATGCATCTCCAAGCTGGAGAAGATCGCTGCATCGTTGTGAGCGTTGAGTCAAGGACAATTATGAATGTGAAGAGATCGGGAAGGAGCGACAAATAAACCACAAGCGAGAAACTTGCCAAAGAGTATAGATGGCACGAGACGAACATCAAGAATACAGGACTGCAGAGAGACATAACAAGTCGAGATTGGGAAGGAGCGACAAACCGATCACAAGCGAGAAACTTGCCGAAGATTGAACATGGAAGGAACGAGGAAAGGAAAGCACGAGGCGAACATCAAGAATGCATGATTGAAGAAAGTAGCGTAACAAGTCGAGAGCATATCTCGAGGAACTGATATCAAATTGGGTATCCGCCAACACACCCTCAACAGCAGGCGCAACACTATTCGTATCGTAACAAGTACAAAGCCCTGCGGCAACATCCATCTAACCTAACAACGCCAAACATGACCATGTAGTCAAGTAGTGAAGACGCCTTTGCAAATATGCAAATATCCCAATGCCAAAGTATAAACAGGAATGCGTCGCTAAATGAGGAAAGACGGTAAGGAAATAGTGGTCGTTAGTGCGGCGACGACGTGCGCGAGCCCCATGTCAAAGAGACTGAGCACGCACACGTTGTAGTGTGAGCGCAAACTAGTCGTAGAGGTTGCCCTGTCATCATGTGGGTGAGATGAGGAGGGGTAGGGCGACGTGCAGCGGTGTCGTGGTGAAACTGCCAGGGTCGGATGATGGGTGATCCGATGACATAATAGCGCCGACGAACCGCCGACGGGAAACGGCGGTGGGGAGAGTAGCGCAGTCGTGAGATGAGTATCACGGATGCGGGATGGTAAGAGAGTTTCGTGCAGGTGGGTATGAAGATACTGTTCAGAGGATGCGTTTTCTGATGATCGTTAGTCATTTGATGCAGGTTGGTTGTGCATGGAGGAAAGGACTCACTGTCTGAAGACGGTCTCGAGGGCGACGGCGCTGAGCTCTGAATCATCGGGCAGACACTCAACGAGCGGTATCAGGTCTGCGAACTTCTCGCCACCCTTGTATGCTAGGACAGCGGGAACACCGGTGTCCTCGATTTCGGCGTCGTCGTTGTACATCTTGACGAAGCGGACGGTGTCGTTGCGCTTTGCTACGTCGTGCATGACCTTCTCGAACATTTGTGATACCTCGGCGAATGGCTATGGTGCTGTTAGTAGGAGCTGGATAATGGATGGAGTGATGTGTATACATACATCACTGTTGTAGATGAAGACGACAACGACAGTACTCGACGCCGTCTTGTCAACAGCATCAAGATAACCCACACCATCCACCAACGGCATGCTTCCATATATCCTCCGGCTAGGGCTGTTGGTCCTCGATCGTATCCTCTCACCAACATTCTGCAGTTCCTTCAACCTCGCCTCACGCCATTGGCGCATGAAGCCCTCGTCGACCTCGTCATCACTGCTCGATGTCTTCTCGTCGTGATAGGCATTGACATTGTACTGTGCGGGCGCGGCGTTCTTCTTCCATGTGAATCGGCGTGCTTGCTTCTTGGCCTGCTCAAACGCCTGGGCGTCAGCAATGACACCCTTGGGCCCCGTGTTGGCCTCTGAGCGCAGGTTGGGCATGTAGTAATTCGCCCTCATGTCGGCTGGGATGTCGAGCTCGTCGTCGGTATCGATCTTCTCGAGGTAGTCGTCGGCGGCACCAGGGGATTCCGGGTCGGAGAGGTCGGAGTCGTTGTGTCGGTCTTCGGGGTGGCGGTCTTCGCGGTCCTTGTCTCGGATCAGTTCGTTGAATTCGTCTTGAGCGGCTGTAGTCATGACGGAAGAAAAAGAAGAGCGGGACCCGAATGACGGGCGCCGGACTGATATATGTGTGGAGAAGGGGGACGGTCAGCGTCAGCTGTTTGCAGAGTCCGTGTACAGGTCCCGGTGTCTGGTGACGCGTTGGTCTGTGGTGGGCAGAAGGAAAGGGAGTCGTTGCAAGGTTGGGGTCGGTCGTCTGGGATGGTGCTCCGCTAGATGACAGGCCTTGGCGCGCGTGCTTGCAGGGCTATTTTCGAGTACGCGCTGGGGTTTCAGCGATGCAATTGGACGCGCACGGGAGAATTCCCTCGAGGATTCCAACGTGCGTACGTGGATAACGTGGTCGAGGCGGTACGGTGTGTAGGGGTGTGCTTGGTAGGTGCTGTTTTAGGGCTGATGCTGACCGGCCGATTTCACGATGCATTAGACGCCCGCACGGGGCCGCATCGCACTCCATTGGCGAAGCGCAAAGGCATGTCGGCCTTATGAAACAGGATGCTCGAGTGCGAAACACGCTCACCCGCCTGTACACCGCCCAATCGAGGACCCGCGGGTGGCGCGCAATGGCTTGGGGCGCCGCGTGAAAGCCTGACGACTGCTGAAACACCATGCCGAACTATCTTGCTACACGCCTCCTCGACACGTCTGTCGCAGCATCAACCTGCCCTATCCTCGCTGCTGTTTGGAGGCTACACGTCACAATGACCTTACGCCTCTGCTAACCCTCTCATGCGCTCTCGATGTTTCAATCTCCTCGAGGCACCAACTGTCATGCAGCACCAGAGTTCCATGGCACCGCCGACCAAAAGGGGCCGAGGGATCTCTCTTTCGGTCTTGTTTGATATTCTCGTCCCGGCCACATCCCGGATGCGAGTCCCCCGGTGCACATGCAATGGAATCCTTCTGTGCTCGCTTCTAGAAGCATTAATGCCATCCATCGCGTTCCTATTCTCCGATCGACTCCTGCATCGGCTGAGGCGCTTCCTTTTGTCGATTCCAGGGTCCAGTTGCCATGCAGCCTAAGATTGCGGGCATTAGCTGAGGCACGTTAATGCCAAAGACGATGGTTCGATACATTGATTTCTCTTCGAAAATAGAAAGACGTTGCATAACCGCCCGGGTGAAAGTAAAATACGACGTGGCTCCTGCGTCTTCTGCTCGGTCGCTCTGCTGTCATCCATGAAGATCACAACCATAATCTATCAGCCCTGCCCGACGAACGCCTAAAGTACGGTCACGCTACCATCACCGCAATAAGCTCTGATCGCTGATACTCCGGCTTGTCACTGCTTGTCCCGGAGTGACGTCCGGATGGGCAATTGGGATCCCCTGGGCAACCTAGTCATATGCATAACGGTGTGCGCGCCACTAGATTCGCGAGCGGGTATCATCCCAGGTGGTGCAATCACCTTGGAGCTGTTAATGCCTCGCACAATGGCCTAGGCCAGAATGCGAAAAGTAACTTCTACCGCTGAGGCTACAGTAACCGCTGAGAGCGCCGAACAACAGCTGCGACAAGGTCTAGAAGGCACGTTGACATTGATTACTTCTTTCACGAGCTGACCTGGACTGAGCGCGCTCAAACCTTGGAATGCTCGAGACGTTCCAAGGTTCATGGAAAAGGCAATATCAGTCATCTTAACATCATGCAAAAGCGTTCGATAAACTTAAAAGAGGTATATAGAAACTCGCTGACTACCGACTCATCCTTCACAACCCAATCAAATCGTACACATTGAAAGCCCATGCGCCAGAAAGCCATGATCCGTCCATTCAGTCCCCCTCATCCATGGATTCTCCAAAACCATTTGCACGTAGTAGAATCCGAAACATACAGTAATGAAGCTCCCCGTCTTGCACAGCCCCATCTCTTCCCACGCAAGTGCAAGTACAATCGGTCGCTTTTAATGATCAGGCAGAACGCAAGGAGAAGACTATGTCGAAGGTTGATGTAGATAGGTGCTACTCATGTACGTAGAACAGCCGGCCCGGACATGAAGACGAGTGTGAGCAGTATGCTCGCACCGTCGAGAAAGGAATAGAACAGTGGTATGAAAAGAAAAAGTAGTTTGAGCACAAAAAGATTCCGGGCGCCGGGACATCAGTCGGCACCGTAGCCACATCGACGATTCCAACAGGTGCGAGTATTATATTCTTAGAGTATGGCAGCGCTCAGTCTCCTGGTTGATAAGATGCAGCAGGGGTATGGTATGCCAGGAGTTGCGGAGATCGCTGTCGTAGGTTGTAGTTTGCCAATATTACGGTAAGGCGCACACGTTCGAATTGGCGTCGTTACATGGCGTCGTGGAAGTTGGGGAGGCTGACGGCACTTATGCCCAAATGCGCAGCTATGCCAAGTCAGTTGTGTGATGCAGACGGGCGCACGAGAGCACCTACCATTGAGTCCCATGAACCAGTGCATAGACTGAGCGCGTCGTTGCTAACGCCGAGACAGCTGACGCGGTTGTCGTGTCCTTGCAATGTGCCTACGCGTTCGCCGCGGAGTACGTCCCAAACCTGGATATTATTAGACTGTGGAACCTGTGGGGGCTGCGCTGACTGCTTACCTTGCACTCGAAGTCGTCGTAACCAGCAAATAGCAGTCTTCCGGAGACAGAGAAGGCTACGGATGTGATACCGCAGACGGGCTCAGGAATCTATGGCAGACATTAGTAATCCAAATGCCAAGAGTGCCAGATATGTCAGCGGGCGTACCTGGTATGATGCAAGCTCGCGGTCGGCGCGGATGTCGAACAGACGGCAGGAGGCATCGTCGGAACCGGTACCGAAGGCATTTCCGTTGGGGAAGAATTGGATGGCGTTGATGTCAGAGTCGTGCGCGGCAAAGGTCTGCACGCACTTCTGCTGTCTGATGTCCCAGAGCTTCGCGAAGGCGTCGCAAGCACCGGAGACAAATTGGTTGTGGTCGAGCGGGTTGATGCTCAAGCTCATTACATCACCGAGATGGTCGGCAAATTCGTGCACCTTGGAGCCAGTCTCCAGATCCCACAACACACAGGTCATGTCACCGGATGATGTAAGGATGCGCTTATCACTGATGAATCTGCAGCAACTGAGGTAGCCCGAGTGGCCAGACAGCTCGCGTGCCACGCGTGTTGGGCCTTCCCGCGCCGACAGGTTGTAAATGGAGCAGATGTTATCGAGACCACCACAGGCGACGTAGTTGCCGGACGGGGAGTAGGCGCACGTCATGACCCAGGACGATCGCAGAGGAATGGCGTGGACCTTGTTGGTCGTGTAGGCGTCCCAAATGATGAGCTTTCCGTCCTGCGAGGCGGAGACGAGATGTCTGCGGTCGGTGGACCAGTGCATGGCGTAGATTTTAGCCAGATGGCCCTTGAGGGTGCGCTTCGTCTTCATGGTGAGGCGCGGCAGAGCCTCGACACGGTCTCTGGCGACATCGCGAACTGCGCTCTTGTGTTAGCCGTCTACGAGGTTCCGATGCGGTGAGCACGCCGGCTGGAAAAAGAACATACGAGTCGTGTCAGCGAGCTCATCCTTCTTGCGCTTTATCCTGTCCTTGAGCGCCTCAGCGTCGCGGCGGGCGAGCTGGATCTTCTGCTGGATCGTTTCTTGATTCATATCGGCCATATATTAGTGGTGTGCTGGTGGTGAGGGTGTTGTCGCGAGCGGCGCGAAACGGCGAGGCAGGCGAATCCAGGGGCCTCCTAGGGAGCGCGGCAGCCGGGAGCGAGAGAGAGCGGCGGAAGGAGCGATGGACAGGCGGCAGCAATGGCTAGACGCGCGCAGAGCAGAATCAATTGCTTGCGCAGAGGGAGCGGCGGCTGGCAAACGGTCGTGGGGGCGTGAGGATGGAAGGGTGAGTGCTTGGAGATGAGTGAGGTACAGGAGCGGCCCGGGGTGAGCTTAGCTTGGCCTAGCCGAGCAGCGAGCGCTGGAGATCAAAGGGCGGTGCTCCGCCAGTCTGTCGCGAAGATGCCCACTGCAAACACCTGCCGTGACACGTGAGCGATGTGAAGGGGCGGTAACGTGAAGGAGCCCTGCGTGCTGTCGGGTCGGGTGTTTGCACTGCTGATGGCGTCAACGTGGTGTTGCTATGCTCTGCTCCTGTCCAGACCTTGACGAAGAAGGCGCGCGCTGCAATCTCCTGCAGCGCACCTCCTCCTTTAGGCGACGGACGAATGAGCAGCGAGCAGCCTCGGCTGCCACTATGACCCGCGTCCGCCGCTATACCCCCCAGGCCTCCTCCTGAAGTCTATTCACCTTTCCATTATCGCTTCGAGAACCATCCCCACGCCACCAATACCGCCGTGTTCCCCAGCATGGCTGCACTCCCCATCGCGACTGCACACGACCTGCCCGTCGACGCTGCCTTCACCAAGGGCCTGCCCAAGATTGAGGTACTGCTCCAGCCTCCTCGGTCCCTAGTCATCGCGCCAAGGACGCTCAGACTTCCGTTCGCTGCTGCTAATGACGCGACTCAGCTTCATGCCCACTTAACCGGTAGCATCAGTCGCGACTGCCTGCACGCCATATGGGAGACAAAGAAAGCACGGCAGCCTGACTTCGACCTCGAGGACCCTTTGGTCGCCATACCCGCGGGCAAGGTCGACTACGATATCAAAACGTAGGCCTAGCTCGATTTGCTCGTCGTTCGGAATTCTCGCTGTAACACCGGCGTGCCGTTGGGAATACATGGGCCAAGACGATCGCGCAAGCGATTTCGCGGCCAATATTCTCCTGACAAATGATCGCTACCCGCTCGGTCGTCCCAAACAACTGGCTCACCACGCGAAATACTAGCAGACGTCTGACAGCTAGATTAGGTTCTTCCCGCTGTTTTCGTCATACATCTATCGCCTTTGCGGTGATTTGCCGAGCATTCAGTATGTCTGTCGACATGGAAGTATATGGTGAGCTGCGGTTGATCAATCTAGGTACTCCACCAGGGCTGTGTTGCAAGACTTCCAGGATGATGGGGTGGTATACGTTGAGCTTCGAACGACCCCGAGAGCGATCCTTGGAGAGGGCGTAACCAAGGATGATTACGTGAAGACCGTTTTGGACATACTCAATGCCCATAACGACGATGCTAACAACACCATGCGAGCTTTCCTCATACTGTCAATCGACCGTCGCAACAACATCGCAGACGCGGAAGAAGTCGTCGATCTTGCCATCAAGTATCAGTCCGCCGGCGTTGTTGGTGTCGACCTATGCGGCGACCCAGCGAAAGGTGACATTCGCATCTTCGGCGATAGCTTCGCTCGGGCAAAGGCTGCCGGACTGAAGATCACGCTGCACTTTGCCGAGAGCGAAAACTCTTCCTCGGATTTAGAGTTGCAAACTCTCCTGTCATGGCAACCTGACAGACTTGGTCATGTCATACATGTGACGGATGAGTTTAAGAAGACTATCGAGCAGCACGGAATCGGCGTTGAGCTGTGCCTCAGCTGTAACGTCCATGCCAAGATGATCACGGGCACTTACTCGGACCACCACTTTGGAGTGTGGCGACACAGCAGTGTTCCCGTCGCTCTGAGCGTACGTTCAGCTCTGGAAACTGTGTGTTCCGTGTGATGACTAATACCCGGCAGACGGATGATGTAGGTGTCTTTTGCAGCCCTCTCTCGCAAGAGTACTACCTCGCAGCGCAGCATTTCCACTTAGACCGAAAGGCTATCAGAGCACTTTGCGTGCGAGCAATCGACTCAATCTTCACGGGTCCTGATGAACATGCCCGTCTGCGGAACATCGACGCGTCTTGGAACAGATGGGATATATGAATCATGGCCGAAGCAACAGACAGTCATTCGGCTGATGAAATTTAGTCATAATGACTCCGGTATATGACCAAAGTTACACTGCCACGTCTTTTGCAGTAGTCATCGCTGAGTACAAGATTATGCAATGCATTCTCCTTCTTTTCTTCCTACAATCTCTCTCATATGAACACTACTATACATCGATTGACTACGCAACAACGCGCCATACACGCTTGCACACCCACACGGCCTATCGCACACTACCGAGCTACGGTCACTATTGCCGGCCACTCAGACTTCGATCTTTCACGCCGGCAAGGACGTTCGCAGCTCCAGTATGGCTATCATCCCACTGAACAGTGTAGTCTTCACGCTCTTCTTGATCCTTTCTCTAATCGCCGGAACTGCTGCTCAAAGCTCGGCTCAGGCTGGTACCGACACATCACCAAGCGCATCACAGGCTTCTGTGCAGGCCTCCTATCAGGCTTCGCAGGCCGCCTCTCAGACTTCACTGGTTACATCTCAGACCTCTCAGGCTACTTCCCAGCCTTCTCAGGTCGCCTCTCAGACCACTCAAGCTATCTCTCAGGCCGCGTCGCCAAGCACTACTCCGACAAATTCACAAGCTGCCTCCGCGGCGCCTATTGTAGTCCCCAACGTCGACGCGGACAAGAATTTCGTGATCGGCAATACTTGTGACCCCGATCAGAAGAACATCATCAAAACCGCCTTTGTCGGAACTGGCATTTTGGCCTTCTATGGAATGCTGGATTGGTCAAATGCCAATCTTGGACAAGACCTACCCTTCGTGGAGAATCTTGGTACCAGCGCTATTCCGAATGCTAGCACAGTCGAGAGCGTGTTTAAGGACTATTCAAGCGCAACCGTGAGTGCTGCTTGGAAGATCAATGCGGTTTGCGACATCAAGAACGAGACAGCGGCATGTCAAAGTAAACACGTGTATGGCGGCATAGGCAGCGAAGGCCCCCGGGTGGACCTCAAACCTAATCTCTACTTTTGTTGGGAGTACTTCCGATTCCCTCCTCTGAATGAGGCAGTACAGATGGGCCTGAGCGATGCAGTCGACTGGACGCGCCGGTTCAATATGGGCTCTTATCATGAGAACCAAGGTATGGGAATGCCATCTCGAGCATATCCACATGTACCTCATACTAATCTACTAATAGCTTCCGCACTCTTCCGAGCTTTGCTCTACTATCTCCCACAGCGAGAGGGCTGGAACCGGCATATCTCCAACATGTGGGTGTACATGCGATATGCGGGTGGGGCGAGCAAATGGACAGCTTGCTATGGTGTATATTGCACTAAGCTTCTAGCTCAGTTGGCCGACAGTGAAACATGGAGTATTCTTAATGGTATGCATTTGACAACAACAAGAACTCTTACCCGATGCTGACGGGTATAGCCGATAACTATGCTCTTTTTGCGTTGCAGAAGTACGTTTCTCGTCAACTTGGAGAATCCAAAAATCTTGGAGCATCCAACTTTCCATGGCTTCCTCGTCTCGAAGATGATCCGAATCCCATCATTCAGCCTTTTGCTTCGGGAGATATCGAGACCTTCCAGGCAACTCCGGAATTCAGCGCAGAGAGTGACTCCCAGTGGTATTACGACGTCGAGCGATACCAGAAGACAGATATTTTGGACTTTAAGGACCAACTTCCCAAAGAATCTCAGGCTAATCTAGAGAATGCGCCCTGGTCCTTTGGCGCCACCACATTCGGTTTTAAAGCACTTCGTGACAAGTTCCTGAAGGTATTCAACGAAGCAAAACAGCACGGCATGTCCAACCTGGGTGCATCAAAAGAATACACATGTTATCGCGAAGATAAAGCCGCGTTCCCGGACGCCATAGCCTTTACATTTGACGAAGTGCAGAGTGAATTGGATAACTTTTGCAAGAACAAAGTCAACGACTACATGCTCGCTGGCAAGCCTCTACATCCGCGCATCTTCCAAATCGATAAGGAAGTCGAGTTGTATACACCACTACCGGATGGTACAAAGGATCTGGTTTACTATGTCTCCCCAGGCCCTGATAGCTTCATGACAGGGAAGAACTTATCTGTATATTTCGAAGGAATACAATCTGACGAGAAAGCTTCGCATTGCATAGCAACATACAACGACCTCATTACACATGTTGGTTGCTAATCTCCACAAATGCTTGCGTCCAATACTAACAAACCTAGTGCGATGGAGGAGACAGTGACGACAAATATGGTGGCTATCTCAAAATCAACGACATGGTGCGTTTTGTTCCGTTGGATTTGACCGAAAGATAATGCTATGATGAATCCTCGAGAGTCACACTTAAGAACCATTATTGACGCACTTGCAGATCTTCGCCGTAGGCGCTATGACGCCTCCATCAGCCCACTGGGACATACCACGTACCTTAGAATCCAAATGCACGGATTACAATGCCACGAGTGCATGGCGGGTCGCACCCTGGATCGATATCAATGATAGCGAACGTACGGGGCGGCTCTGTACGTGTTGGTTTGGTAGCAACCCCATGGGTGCGGCTATGGTCTGTAAGGAACCGGGGAAGTCTTGCGCAGATGTTTGGAAGCAGCAAGGCGCTGCCATGGGTGCTGTGGCGGCCATGCGGTGCATTAGTGGGTAGCCTAGGCGGTGGGATGAGATGCTAGGGATGCACATGTATGGAGTATAAGAGTCTTTATCTACACGACGCTGGATTACATTCCATCTTATGCGGTCCGGATAATGACACGAACCGCGAAACATCCCAACTCTCACTAAACCAGATCTTGAACTACCGGCCAGTCACTCAATCCCAACGTCTAGTCATAACGACTCTGCTATGACAGAAAGCATACTTCCACGTCCTACGCAACAGTCATCGGTGAGTATAAGATCTCGCATCGCAGTTCTCTCCTTCCTTCCTACAATCTCTCTTCGATAGACACCATCACGCGAATACCACACAGCCAACATTACTTCACATCTTTGCTTTACCTGCAAATCATATCTAGTGCCCTGCCACTCTACATTTAGTCATCTCTTACCGCTCGTTCTGCAACATGTTCAACGCCATCAAGAAAGTCCGCTCGTTAGCCACGTCAGTGTTAAGACCGAATGGTCTAATCCTTACGATCTTCTTGATCCTCTCTCTCATAGCGGATGGCGCCGCGCAAAGTTCTTCACAAATGGCCTCTGCAGTTTCTCAGACTGCCTCGATGGCTTCTCAGGTAGCCTCCGCTGCTTCTCAGGCTAGCTTACAAGCGTCCTCCCAAGCAGATTCACAATCACCTTCCCAGACTCTCGCACAAACAGGCCCTCAGCCCTCGGTATCAGCGCTGCCATCAACTGCCGAGTCCATAATCTCCTTTGATGATTCATGCAAGGCTGAGCATCGAGACATGCTTGACAACGATTTGAAAGATGTTATGGATATGGCCAACGTCACGGTCAAAAGCCAAATAGCCTACACGGACAACCCAAACTTTTGGCTGTATTTTGGCAAAAGCTCAGTCGAACACATCCCAGTCGTCAAGAGTGTTTTTCCAGGCGTGCTGCAACTTTCAGAGCCAATTTCGGTGGGGTGCAACTTCGACGGCTCAGCTCCGTGTGACGCCCGCACCAACTTTCCTGGCATTGCCAAGACAGTGGTTGACACACAAAAGAGGGACGGCACGCAAGGTCAACAACCGGGGCTTGTAATCTGTCGCGAGTACTTCGGACTCCCTCCACTGAACCATAGGGTTCAGATGGGTATCAATTCCCCCACTAATCTTACGGCTCGATACAATTCAGGGTACTATCACGACAATCGAGGCGAGTAACTCAATCATTGTACACTTGCCGCTAGGTCACTGACATCGATCAGCTACTACCTTGCTGCGCATGCTGGTCCAGTTTCTTCCTACATCGAAAGAACTAAAACGACCCATCTCAGACCTTTGGGTCAATCTATGGCAAGATTCTCCTGGCGGAGTCAAGGAGTCGTGGTCAGCTTGCTACGGAGTACTTTGCGCCAAGGTTTTGGCTCGAGTTCACGACAGCTCTAACGACTGGGGAGCGTTGAACGGCATGTTCATCATATCCTGCATAAATACCTGTCAAGCTGATCATTTCTAGCGGACAACTATGCTCTTTTTGCCCTATCCAACTATGTATCGCAGGCTATCGGCGGCACAGTTCCTTACTTCCCCAGAATTGATAATGATCCATCTTTCGGCAAAATGGTCGTTCCTTTCAATAACGAAGAATCTGCCCAAATCCAAGTAAAAGGCTGGTTCCACTGGCGCGGACTTTCACAGCCAAACTACGACGCTTCTCTACTACAACCCAATAAAAATGATTTCGATATTGGGACTATGCTTGATGAAGAACGAAAGGCCGATATACTAAGCGCCCCGTATTACAGAGAACTCCCAGACGAGTCCGTAAGGGGCAAGGAGGACTCATGGATCGGTACCTTTGTAAACGCCCACAAAGACCAACTACTCAATACGGATGCAACGTCCGACCGTACTTGCTTCGGTAAAGGCCATACCCAGTACCCAAATGCGAAGGAATTCGACGGAGAGGAGGCAGTTGGCTTTGCCCAACAGTTCTGCGAAGACATCATCAAGCACTGGGACAAGACGACCCCAATTCCACCATCTGTGCGCGATACATCGGACTTCCGTAACGCAAGTAGGGCGTACAAACTCACAAAAACAAACGCTGACTCGCATGTTGGATTCTTTGCGGTCGCTGATCCTGCGTTGTTCATACAAGCTCGAACCACTTGGCACTTTTTTGAAGGAGCTACGGACGACGACA